TGGCCACGCCCCACAGCCATCTGGCCACGCCCCGCCGGCCTCTAGCCACGCCCATCTCCCTCCGGTCACGCCCCACAGCCCTCTGGCCACGCCCCACAGCCCACTAGCCCGCCCCACAGCCCTCTAACCACGCCCACCTCCCTCTGGCCACGCCCCACCGTCCACTAGTCCCGCCCCACCACCCTCTAATCACGCCCACCTCCCTCGGACACGCCCCACCGCCCTCTAGCCACGCCCACCGCCCTCTGGTCATGCCCCACTGCCCTCTGGCCATGCCCACCACGCCGCCGCCTTCTAGCCATGGCCGCCACTGCCCTCCAGCCCCACCACCGCAGACATCACCCTCTACCTGCCCACAGCGGTCCTCACCACGCCCTCGCTGCTGCGCTCTGCCCTGGAGAACCCTGGGAGCCCCACCAGGCCACGGCGGCGTGTGGGCACACGCGGACCTGAGAGCCCAGTCCAGCCCCGCGCGTGCGCCGGGCGCCCGGCGTCCCGGGCTCGTGTCCACCGGCCACAGGGCACCCGCTGGGCTTGTGCCAGGGTCCAGACTCCAGTCACTGCCCATCAGCGCCTTAGCTGGGCTCGAGTGTCAACCACGCCATCTCTGAGGCTGCCATCAGCACCCGGGCTCCGGGGCCTCAGCCACGCTGCCTGCCCACCTGCAGGACTGGCGGGGGGCAAGGGGCTCTCCTGGGAAGCCCCAGCGCGACACCCAAGTGTTCCTTACACCTAGGCCTTGACCCTCCTCCCCACCCTGGGGCGCTGCTGGCCCGCAGGACCATCTCCAGGCACAGCACTGGGAAGAGAGGCTGCAGCCTCAGGACAGGGCCCTGGCCACTGTCTCAGGACAGGGCCCTGGCCACTGTCCTCACGCGCTGCCTCCGGGGGGTGCCGCTCACCGTGCACACCCACCTGGCCGTGACGAGGTCCAGCAGCCAGTGGGTCCGCACCTGCTGGATGCCGCCGTGAGGGACGGCGCCCACATAGGCCAGGTTGAGCTGTTGGTCCCAGCTGAGGTCGTACAGGTCTGCCTGGCTGTGCGGCAGAGGGGGGCTGGGACAGGCGGGGGGCGGGATGGGGAAGTGAGGCGCTGCAGGGAGCAGGCCGCGGCCGGGGCGCCCGGGGTGACCTGAGCCTCGTCTCCCATAGCACACGGACCTGCGCCAGGAGCGCTAGGTCGGCTCCTGCTCGGGGGCTGGCGGTCCTCAGCGGGCCACGCCTGCAGCCTGCCCCTGCCCACCACCCGAGTCTCGCCGTGAGCCTGTCACCAGTGGGGCGGTGCACATGCAGACTTGGGGTCCTGTCCCTGGGGTGCGGCCAGTGGCCGCCGGGCCAACAGTCCACTGCCCACCGCGAGAGAGTCCTGGAGACACCCCAAAGCCCACGGCGCGGCGGGCCCCTAGGAGTGGCCCTGAGGGTGCTGGGAGCTCTCGGGTCTCTGCCGGGGCAGGGGGAGCCGGGGGCAGGGCGGGCAGCAGGGTCTGGGAGGCTGGGCGCGGGCAGGGCGACCGGGCTCAGTCTCCCCTTGCCGGACCCTCACCAGAAGCCGGTGCTTCTCCAGAAGGGCCTCAGGGGCCGCAGCGTGCGGGCCGCGTCCACGTGCACCAGGTGTGGGGCTTCGGCCAGCGCCGCGGGGGCGGCCAGCAGCGCGGCCAGGAGCGCGCCTGGAGTGAGCCGGGCCGCCGTGCACAGGGAGCCTGGTCGCCCAGGAGCCCCTGAAAACTCACAGGTGG